GTGTAAACCCCGCTCGAGCGCAAGAAAACCCGCTCGAGCTGACCACCTGAAAACTGGGCAACAAGGTTTGAAACTCAAACTCAACCAATCTGTAACACCCTGCCCAACACATCTTAAAACTCAAATATATGGGATTAAAGGGTGACAACACGGCATACACAACAACCAACTCCACAGAACCAAGTCTGGAGCACAATAATCAAAGGAAAGGAAAGCCGGGATCGCTATAAGGGGAAAAATCTATAGTACATAAAAGTAGTTTTCATGTATGGTACTTAAAAATATATGCACCATTAGATTTGGATATGATAAAATCCTAGTCATTAGATGTGTTATGAATAAAAATAAATAGGAAACTAAGGTGGTTTTTCTAAAGGTAAAGAACTTTTAGTTAATTTAGGAATGAAAAAATATATCTAACTTACTATTTGTTACATACTTAGGATTCATTTGGCATTAAGGTTTGGGTTGGTTTGAGACTATTTTACTCACAAAAAGACAAAACAATAAAAAAAAAATCATCACAAACGAGGTTTTTTAGCCACGGGCTAAAATAGTTAAAAAGTCAAAAAGTCAAAAAACTAACCCACATCCCAAACGAAGGTTTACTACTTACCATTAACTCACTTACTACTATAAACTTACTATTTAAACATAAATAAAATACAACTCAACAATATTACTTGTTAATCAGGTCACAATTTTTGTCTCGAAAGTTGTGTTCTTTTTTGTATTATAAATTAATTTTAAACACATGAAACTAATGACACATTATATATAACTATTTTTCCTTCATATTTAGTTTTTTGTTTGTGAGGAGTGATGCTACACTTACCTGTTTGTCACTTTTAATATATCACCTCATGTGTTAGTACTACATTGAAGATAAACATTATTGATGGAATAGATTACATCAATGATGTATTGATGCATAAGGTAATACATTAAAAGTTATATAAACCAGTGGTAAGTATATTATTACTCTTTTGTGAGTTGTAGAAAGCAAAATGTGGCATGTGAATAGAAAAAATATCATTTCGCTCCCCCCCCCAAAAAAAACTTTCACGTGTTTTTCAATTTGACTCCTAAACTTCGATTAATATCAATTTTACACCCAAACTTTCAAAATTTTGATTAATTTGGCCTTTGCCATTACATTCTGTCTACAATTGGACAGAATGTGCTGATGTGGAGGGCAAATTAATTTTTAAGATATAGTTTAGGGGCAAATTCATTTCTAATTTGCAGGGCAAACTGATTTTTAAGGAATAGTTGGAGGGTAAATGAAATTTCAAATGAATTTTGGTGACACATCAACACATTCCATCCAATTGTAGACAGAATGTAACAACAATGGGCCAAATTGATCAAAATTTTGAAAGTTTGGGTGTAAAATTGATATTTATCGAAATCTGAGGGTCAAATTAAAAAACGGGTGAAAGTTTGGGAGGCAAAATGATATTTCCTCATGTGAATATTAATTTATTAAAATTTGTTACTAATTTGCCAAATTTTATAAAGTCATTATTGTGAAAATATACTTTTCAAAATAATATTAAAAATAAACAAAACAAATAAAAATAAATTGCAAACTATTTTCTTTTAAAATGTAAATTATTTAAACTTATTTTTTTGTAAAAATTAATTTAAAAGTAGTACCCTTTTTTTTCAGCCAACAACACCTTAAGGCATCAATTACTATTTAAGAATTTGAGATCCATATTTTATTTTATTACTTATAAATTTTGTATATTTTATATAACTTATATGAATTTCATATTCAAATCTTTTAGAAATTTTTATAAGTTCATAAGTTTTTATCAATTTAATATCCACCATAAAATGAATTTTTCCCTCATAAAATTCATATGATTGGCAATGAATATGCTTTTACAAATTTAATATGTACAATATTTTAAAGCATAAATGAAAAATTAAATAAAACATAAACCTAGTAAAACTTTTCATTTTTCAACATTTATTAATGGCAATAAATAAATACATTTACAAGAATTACGTTTCTTTGCCTGCTACACTTGAAAATAATAATTGCTATATAAGAAGATAGTTAATTAGGAGAATATAGAAGACCTCATAACTCATTTACACACTATGAACAATATTGTGTTTTGCTTTTGATTTTTGTAACAAATGATATGTTAAAGAGGGTGATTTTAATTTTTACAAATTCAAAAAATTATTGAGGTATCTCTATCTCTATCACTATTTTATTTTAACATTATGTAATATTTTTAAATTATGAGATTTAAGATTTTGTTGGAATAACATTTCACCTAATTAAAGAAAAATCATTCCATAGTAAATAGAGTCTTATTAAGTAGTAAGTCATATCTAATAAAATAGTAAGTGGAGTTTCATTGAGTAGTAAGCCAAATTTAATTAAACAGTAAGTGAAGTCCCATTGAGTAGTAACTCAAGTTTAATAAAATAGTAAGTACAATCTCATTAAGTAGTAAATAAAGTCTAATAAAATAGTAAGTGAATTCTCATTGAGTAGTAAGTCAAATCTACTTACTATAAAATAGTAAGTGTAGTTTGATTGAATAGTAAATGGTGTTTAATTGAGTAATAAGTCAAATTCAATAAAGTATTAAGTAAAGTCTCATTAAGTAGTAAGTGTAGTTTAATTGAGTAGTAAGTGAAATCTAATGAAATAATAAGTCAAGCCTAATAAAATAGTATGTGGAGTCTCATTGAGTAGTAAGTCAACTCTAATTAAATAGTAAATGGAGTTTTATATTTAAGTAGAAAGTGAAGCCTAATGAAATTAGAAGTAGAGTCTTATTGAGTTGTAAGTGAAATTTAATTGAATAGTAAATCAAGTCTAATGTAATAGTAAGTAGAGTTTGATTGAGTAGTAAATGAAAATTTATTGAGTAATAACTAAAGTATAATGGAGTAGTAAGTAAAAATTCATTAAGTAGTAAGTAAAGTTGAATGAAGTAGCAATGAAAGCTATTTAAATAGTAAGTAAAATCTTATGCAATAGTAAGTAGAAACTCATTACATAGTAAGTAGGGTTTAAATAAGTAGTAAGTGAAATCCAATCAAATTATAAGTGGAATCTCATTAAGTAATAACTTGAGTCTATTTATCACGATGTAGTAAGTAGTAAGTCAAGTCTACTGAAGTAGTAAATGAAGTTTATTTGAGTAGTAACTAAAGTTTAATAAAGTAGTAAGTGAAAACTCATTAAGTAATAAGTGAATTCAAATGACATAGTAAGTAGAAGCTAATCAAATAGTAAGTGAAATTTAATTGAGTAGTAAGTAAAATCTAATGAAGTAGTAAGTGAAAGCTTATTGTGTGAGTGAAGTGTAACAAAGTAATTTCCAATTTCTTGTGACGTCCTGATATTTTAACTCATTTTATAATAACCAATCCTTTATTAATTTCCAATTTCATAATATGAAGTAAGAGTTAAAGAACTCTTCACGAAAACACAATCCAATCGGTGAAAATCACGGTCTCTACACGGGCTTCGCTTTCTACAAGAGATTTAGGCTTAATTCTTGGTGAGAAGAGAGATTTCTAGAGAGAGAAAGTTAGGGTTTTTCAAAGCTAGGGAGAGGAAGAGAAAGAGGAAAAGAAAAGTGAGAAAAAAGAGCAAAAAATAACTTTTTAAGTTTGCTAATTCGCATAGATTGCTCGAGCGGTCTTTCCACCGCTTGAGCGGAGCTCTCAGCATTTTAGTCTGTAAAGCAAAGTATTGGTTACCCCATCTTCACTGCTCAAATGATAAAACCAACCATTCAAGTATTCACCTTGTAAAAAGGCAATTTTGACATCGAGTTGGGCGAGCTTGAGATCAAACTGTGAAACCAAAGCTAACAAGATACAAATAGACGTGTGCTTCACAACAGGTGAGAATACCTCACTGTAGTCTATTCATTCCTTCTGGGCATAGCCTTTAGCTACCAATCTAGCTTTGAATCTGATGTTGTCTCTGCCTGGGATGCATTCCTTCTTGGTGTAAACCCACTTGCACCCAATTGCTTTCTTGCCTTTTGAAAGTTGCACCAACTCCTAAGTCTGGTTCTTATGAAGTGACCCAATCTCTTCATCCATAGCCACCTTTGACTTGACACTTTCTGCATTCTACACAGCTTCTCTGAAAGTGTACGGAACATTAAATTCAATGATTGGAAGTGCATAGGATACCATATCAATCATCCAACCGGGTTGCTTAGTAACCTTTTTTCCTTTTCTGGTTGCAATGGGTTCTGACTATTGTGGGACCTCTTGACCTGGATCTTTGTTCTCATCTGAACTCTCTTCAGAATTTTCTTCAAAGCTATCAACTGAAACTTCTTTAGGATTGTTGCTTGTCTGAACAGTCTTCGCTGGAATCTCAAACTTCACCTGCACTAACTTCTTCAATGCTTCCTCATTCTCTTGAGGATTTGGTTGTTTCAACATTGTAGACTTATCAAAGGTAATGTCTTTTCTAGTGACAACTTTCTTTGCTTCAGGGCACCAGAATCTGTATCCCTTGACACCGTCACTAAACCCCAAGAAGACAACTTTCTTGGCTCTAGGATCCAACTTAGACTCTGTAACGTGAAAATAAGCTGGACATCTGAAGATACGTAGCTGATCATAATAAGTAGTTGGCGCTCCTGACCATACCTCCATGGAAGTCTTGCCATCTAGTGCTACAATATGCAGTCTATTGACAAGATGGCGAGCATAGTTCAATGCCTCACCCCAAAAAGCCTTGCTTAATCCTGAATGTAACAGCATACACTGAACCTTCTCCACTAAAGTGCGGTTTATGTGTTCTATAACTCCATTTTGCTGTGGTGTTCCACTAACTGTGAAATGTCTCACTATCCCTTCTTTCTGGCAAACCTCAAAGAAGGGATCTAATGTGTATTCGCGGCCATTGTCAGATCTGAGCTTCTTGAACTTTCTGCCTGTCTGAGTCTCAATCATTTTCTTTCACATAAGAAAAATGTCTAATACTTCATCTTTATGCTTCATTGTGTAAATCGATATCTTCTTGAGAAATCATCAATGAACAACACAAAGTAGTATTTACCTCCTAAAGAAGCATTTTTGAAAGATCCCCAAACATCTGTGTGAACATAGTCCAGAATCCCTTTGGTACCATGAATGGCAGTACCAAACTTGATTCTTGTTTGCTTGCTCAGTACACAATGCTCGTAGAACTCAAGCTTTCCTGTTTTAGCGCCTTTCAATAGGCCTTGTTTTACCAACCCTTGTAAAGCCTTCTCATCGACATGCCCTAAGCGCATGTGCCAAAGTCTGAAAGTGTCTGATACATCATCGTCTGAGCCAGTGGAGATAGCCACTCTCCCTGTGACTATAGAGCGGTCTAGGAAATATAAAATTCCCTTTCGAATACCCTTCATTGCAACAAATGCTCCTCGATACAACTTTGAGAACTCCATATTCAACAGTTACTCCATAACCTTTAGAGTCTAAAACTCCCACTAAGATGAGATTCTTTGTCAAATCTGGTACATACAGAGCATCTTTGAGAATTATGATTGTTCCATCATGCATCTTTAGTCGAATTGTTCGAATCCCCTTTGTCTGGCAAGCTTGGTCGTTGCCCATAAGTGTAACTCCTCCATCGTACTCTTGTAAGCTCGAGAACCACTAGTTGTTAGGACACATGTGGTAGGAACATCTAGAATCAAGAATCCATTCATCAGAATGGCCAAGTGATGAAACTGTGAAGGTTGATCCTTCACCATTATCTCCATCTCGTGCAACGTTCACCTTTTCATCTTTCTTGTCTTTATTAAGGCAATCTTTTGCCCAATGCCCCTTCTGGCGACATACAGCACACTCGTCTTTTGCAAGACATCTTTTGTCTAATGATCTCTCTCTGGATTTTGAGCGAGACTTTTCCCACCCTGTATATCTTTTGTTATTTGTCCTACGTCAGACTATCAATGACTCTGATGCTGAGTCCCCGTTCGCAGACTTATCTTTCCTTTTGAACTCATTATTTGCCAAGGCGTTTGAAACATCAACATACTTAATCTTTTCTTTACCATACAGTAAAGTGGTGGTGAGATGATCATATGTGTCAAGCAAGGAATTCAATAATAACAGTGTTTTATCTTCATCATCGATTTGAACATCCAGGTTTTTCAAATCGGTAAGAATTTTGATGAAATTGTTCAGGTATTCGTTCATCGAAATACCTTTCTTGTAGTCGAAACGAAACAACCTCTTCTTCAAGTAGAGCCGGTTCTCAATGCTCTTTGTCATGAACTTGTCTTTCAGCGCCTTCTATAAATCCTTCGTAGTATCATATTCTATGAAGGCATACTTCTCCTCTTTTGCAAGGCAAAGTCAAATGAAACTGCAGGCCAGAAGATTCACTTTCTTCCATTCTATCTCATCCAAATCATCTAGTTTGTCTCCCACAGTGAAGTGCAGGTTCATCTGGACAAGCATATCTTTAACTTCACATCTCCGCATGCTGAATTTGCTGTTTCCATCAAACTTTTCTACCTCAAACTTAGCATGGGACACCAGGGTCCAATGCCTAGAGTTGCTTGTAGTCACTGGGTTAGTTTCTCACAAAATCCTTAATAAGAAAACTTAGAATTTGAGCCCTGTTTCCAAACCTAAACAGCCACAAATTACCTTTCCAAGGGAATATTCTGACCTCACGGTTGCATCCAGAATGATTCGTTTAGCTAGGATCAACCTTCGCTGCACTTTCGGTGGCCTCACTGAAAAATTCTCCCAAAATCTGGGTTATAGCACAATTATTTGGCACTTCTGGGCCAAATTGTAATTTTCAAAACTCAAGGAATATTCTGTTATGTGAGGGAATATTCTATTAAGTTAGGGAATATTCCGTTCATATGCAAAATATTCTGTCAATGCTGACTGTGACGCTGACATGGCAGTCTTGTTGATGTGGCGTGATTGGATTGATCCTTGCTTATGATATGGCACTAACGTGTCTTTACCTTAAAAAAAATGAAGTTAAGGAATGCTTGGAACCCCTAACCTAAGACTTCACATCCTAAACCTTAGCCACTCTACCAAAGCATCACCTTGTGTCATATTTCCCCCCAAATAATATTTAACTAATTCATACTCCACCATGCCCACTCACCATCTACTTTCATAATCACATCTCACCATCCCTATTCATCATCTACTTTCATAATCACATCCCACCAACCCAACTTATCATCTACTTTCATAATCACACCCCACCATCCCCACTCACCATCTACTTTCATAATCACATCCCACTATCTTCATTCACCATTTACTTTCATAATCACATCTCACCATCCTAACTCATTATCTACTTTCATAATCACACACCACCATCACCATTCATCATTCACCTTCGTTATACATTGTCCCCCATTAAATCCATTATCTTCCCAAAAAAAAAAAAAAAAAATTGCTCCACTTTGTCCTCTATTTTGTCTTCCACCATTGCCCACTTGCATTGGCTATATAATAAGAGCTCTAGTTTGGAATTTGGAGAAGAATTTTGAAGAAGAAAAGTGTAAGGAGAGAATGCCAAAATTGTGTTAGAATTTGAAAGAAAAGAAAGTCTTAAAAACCAAAGAGTTATCTTACCAAACTAGTGAAGTTACATAGCTCTTACATCTTATCTTCCCTTGTCAAAACCACTAAAAGCCTTAATCAAAGAGAGAGTATTCTTGGCAAGAAAAGAGTGATCATACCCTTGTTCAAAACCATCATTCCAAGCTCAAATTCTAGTTTCAAATTGTGGATTGAGAACACACTTCCTAAACTTGAGGGTGATCAAGAGGAAGTTTGAAAATCAAGAAGTTCAATCTTTCTTTGGAAGGTGAATTTCTAGTCTTTCATTTTCTTATATTTTCTATCTCATATTTATTTTCTTGCTTCTTATTTCATAGTGTTTTGTTATAATCTAAGTGGTTTGTTTATCTCATATTTATTTTCTTACTTTATATTTCATAGTGTTTTGTTATAATCTAAGTGCTTTGTTTATCTCATATTTATTTTCATACTTTATATTTCATAGTGTGTTGTTGTAATCCAAATGGTTTGTTTAGCTAATAATATATTATTATTATTATTATTATTATTATTATTATTATTATTATTATTATTGTTGTTGTTGTTGTTGTTGTTGTTGTTGTTGTTGTTATTATTATTTGCTTATTTGCTTGCTCTTGTTTCATATTAGTTGTGCTGTAAGTTAACCGATAGTGGTTAGTTGAGCCACCTACATATTTCTTGTTTGTTCCTTTTCTTGGTTTCACAACAAGATAGGTTTTGCTTGGCCTATTTGGCCGGTCAGTTAGCTTCTTTCGGACAAGATGGCGCAATCTCCCAACGTTGACCAATTTTCGTCGACGGTTCCAAGGAACATGAAGCTTTTATTTTGTTTATTTTTATTTTGAGTGTTTTGTGAGGTTTTATTTTATTTTATTGCAATATTTTCTCCTCTCTCTCTCATCTGGTCTGTAATAATTTATTCAAAGTGTTGCAATAATTTCCAACCACACTTCTTTCTATCTCGTTCTTTTACTTGCTTTCCTTATTTATGGATATGCATCATGTTTATTTTATTTTATTTTTTTAGTATATCCTTGCTTTGCATCCATGTTTCATACATCTTGATTCGGTTAATTTTGCATTTGTGGATTTAATCAATTTCTATGTGATTATGTGCACTACCTCATGTTCTTGAGATGATTCACATGTCATATCTTGGAAGCTGAATCTTTAGTTACATCTCATGAGTGAATTGCATTAGGATTTTGTATATAAGATCATCCATGATTTACTAACTTTGTTTTGTAGCTTGTTCGCAGGACGTCAAACATGTAAGTTCTTATGCTTTAGCATCCCGTTTGTGTGTGTTTTTCTTATTATGTTTAAGCATCCTACCATGTGGCTACTTGCTTACTTGATATAACTGTATGAATGCCAGCGGATGGAGGTTGTGTCGCTTAATTTGGAATAATGTTGATTTTTCATGTCTGTAAACTCAATTTATTTGGATTGTACATCTTCAAAACTCTTTCAAAATATATGAAATCAAATTATTCCAAAATAAATGGCATAGTCTATACTTGTATGCTTCACATAGTAATTTTTAGGATTTATGAAATAATCGAAATATGAACATGTAAAGTAAATAAAATTCATATCATGGTTTAGTAAAGGCCGATCTTTTGATCGGGTGAGCAGGGGTGCTCAATTAATGATCTTCCCCTCTCATACCTAAAATTTCGCATCGAGACAACTTTGGTTACGACAAACAATGGCCTTGGCATAAGTCACGGGTTTTCTAATTTTCCCAAAATAAATATTAGGTGGCGACTCTGAGATCTGATGACGCAGTCCATTTCTGGAAAAAGGTTTTGCAATAAAATGGATTTTCTAAAGTTGCCAAATCTGGACTCTCATCTATGTTTTACATTGCACTACTAAGACTAGATCAAAGAGAACGAGGGTCCGAACTATTTAACGCGCACGGGTACCCCCCGAGCATATTACAGGAACACAACAACTTCTAAGCTCTTGAAAACTTCGTTAAAAATTTGAGTCCAAATCTCAAAAACAAAATCTGCGATTGTGTTCAGAACGATTGATTTAGCTAGGAAAACACTTTCTCTACCTCTCCAAGGAGCTCAATGTAATTTCTCCAAATCCAGGGACCAAATTACAATTTCCCAAAACTCCAAGGACCTTACTACAATTTAGAAAAATTTCAGGGGTTAAATTGTAATTTCAACAAGATCAGGGACTGAAATACAATTTCTTAAACTTTTAGGGGCCTTCTTGCAATTTCAAAAATTTCAACTGACTGGGATAATGACGTGGCAGATGTGCTGACGTGGTGAACACGTGTGCTGATGTGGTGATCACGTGGCGGTTGAGTTGTTGCTAGTGTAGCTTCACATGTGGCAATACGTGGTGCGAATGTGGCAGTGACGTGGCGATGGCGTGGCAGCTTCCACAAAAAAATAATTTGGAAATTTTCTTGTGAAGGGTTTTGAACCCTTGTCCCAATGCTTGGAACAAATGCTTTAACCACTTGAACAGAGCTCCACTTGGTGTTAGTTTTCTTTCAAATATATATTTGCAGTATATATTTTGGCACCACAAACTCGTCTTCTTCCTCTCGCCGCGCGTGGGTATTCTGGTTCAGAGTTGACTTTACATGTAAACCTTTGATCGACGCGTGTGGATCACCTAGACCTCTGTTTTGACTTTAACTTTTTACTCACAACTACACAATAAAAAAACCACTTTTCTACCAAACACTCTACAAAAACACTATTACTAAAAGTTTTGTTTTTTTATTGGTCACCATTACTAAAAGTTATAATTTATGTTTCACCAAACACATTTACAACTTCTACTTAAAACGGGAATCTAAAATCACACTAAAATCTAAAGT